TTTAGTTGGCACCTCATGAAAACTCACGAATCACCGAGCCAATAATGTCAATCATGCGTAGTAGGTCAGGTCAGTTTTATTGCGACTGGAGGCGCAATCATTGATTCCACTCACCTACCAGCCCAATCTTCGAGCCCTGGCAGAGGGGAAATCTGCGCGAGATTACTGCGCCATCTTCAAGGTCTTTGAGGCGGAAGGACAGCCTCATTTTATCTCCTGCACATTCAAGTTCAGATGACTGTGAGGCAGTCATGCCTACAATCGCAGTAACTGCTTGGTTCCTTCGACAGGATCCATGTACAAATTGGCCGACAGCCATCGCGCAAGGCTTGTACTGAGCATTGAACACAGGCGCAGCTAGAACCTCTAACCACTCCGTACTATGTCAATCACTTCTGTGTCAGGAAGACCTACTTGTTTCAGAATCTCTTCAGTCAAGAGCAAACTCTTCCAACTAACCGCGTTGAGGCGCACATGCGGATCGCGTCTGGCAGCGTCTTCAAGCTCGAGATTATATAGATTGTTCGGATGCTCTTCTGAGCCACTTTCTACACCAAGCAATCTTATAATATGCCAACTGTTCGGGATTGAGTTCTGTTTGTTTTCCACTGCGGTTGAAAGCTCGTTGCAAGCTCATGCATGGACGGGTGTCCAACTTCACAAGCTTTTCTGATGAATTGTTCGATCTCCCAAAGCAACCCGAAGACAACACCGAAATCACCCTTACATTCACCTTGGTCCTCTCGCTCTGCGAAACATGGCTTGTTGGTTTCTCAATCTCATCACATGCCTCGGCCACACCTCCTTGAGAAGAGGCATGGAGTGGAGGAAACGAGCGTAGGACAAAATAGTGGCCGGTTGGCCCTCCAGAGCAAGAACTTGCACTTTAAACAGCTTCGTGAGTGAGTGCCAGCATGGGCACTGGCTATTGGGGCAAGGGATGTTTCATGACTATCGGCCAAGGATAGAGGCGGCAGGTGGACGCCACACTCCGCAGGTATGCAATGAATAGAACGCACTGAACTAAGGCAGTGCATAAGTGCTTGGTATAGCCCAAACACGATTGCCCTCAGGATTGGTAGCGAAACGCCAAGGCTCATGTTCATGACTTTGATCAGCCAATGCGCGGATTTTTAGGACGTGTGCCTCCGAACATATACAGGCTTGCAAGTCGGCAAGATAGAGTGTTAGCTTCTTCCCCAAGCGCGCATACCAGTCGGTTAGCCAAAAATAGGAGCGTGAAGGTGAAGGACTCTCAAGAGTGCACAAGATACCTCGAGCAGAGGCTCTCTCAAAAAGATCACCTGTGTTTTGAACTGGACATGCATCGCGTTCACAAGTGTGGCATGCCCCTGAAGTCATAGCCTTGCGATTTTGACTCCAAGTCATCGGAGGCATCGTCATCAAGCCCATGTGAAGCGGAAGTTCATGGCCTCAACGGTGACCTTCTCAGCAAGCGAGGATAGGCTTCAAAGATCGGTGAGTCCTCAGGAGCCCCATGGTCATCAGTCGGCCATCCAGAAGCGGCTGGAGCGAAGGCCATGGATCACGGCACAGAATGGGGTTCGTGAACCCCGCGGAGGCCCACTTTGGCGCTCCGCTAGCAACTCAGCAAACGCACCGCAGCGCTTTTTCAGTGCAAAAAGGTTTGAGGCTCTGGTGCACCTGCGGCAACGGACCGGCGGTATGAATCCGCGACTGAGAGGTCCCATAAATTGGGTGGATCATAATGCGACTCTTCTACCAAAAGCTGCATAAAACTGCAAGTTGCTGAATTTTTGGCTCACTACCACTACGTTATTGATCGACTATATAAAGACTCTATATATATATATATACTATATATATACCTATTTAACTCTATGTATGTTTTTGTTTATATGTATGGTTCAAAAGTGTTCATCTGGGAAAATATCCAAAACACTATGGATGCAGCAAAGGTATCTTCTTGATTGTGGCTCAGTGAGTACATATGTGAGCCATCTTACACACCAGTGGCAAATAAAGGCCTCATGATTCCAAGTGTTGCATCACAGCTGGCTTCTATTGAAAGAACAAACGGGCGATTTGGGTTTGCTAGGCACTTGGAAGTCCCTTTGTCAACCCCAAGAAAACAATTGCCCAAGCCCCCTTTGCCAAGAAACTGCAGCTGCGGCTTCGTGTGAGCCCTGGGAGGGGTCCCCGGAAGAAAGGATTGCTCTCAGTGGGAGGTTGGGGACTGACATTCGTAACCTTTGAGACTTGTGAAATAAGATCAATGAAATTCTCATGTCACAAGAAGCTACTAGTGACAAGGTTCGCTACGAACGGGGCTCCTGGCATCGCTACGAACGGAGCAAGAAGCTACTAGTAGCTCCTAGCCATACTACTAGTAACAATGAGCTACTAGGGGCTCCTCACGCGATGTTCCACCTCCATTCAAAAGGTGTCCAATATGAGCTTTGGAGTGTCCCAGTTTCCTTGTGGCTCAACCTCCAGGCTGCAAAGTCAACCCCGAAAGCCCCAAAATGAGCTCGGCCTTCACCACCGAGGTGAAGTCATTTGCTGCCTGAAGATATGTTTGTGAACACACTCGAAGCTCTCGATTTTAGACGCACAAATCTGGATTTGTTTCATTAATCCGGCTGCATGATATTTCTTTTTATGATGTCCTGTGGTCAGCTTTGGTCACAATTGGTCTAGTGCTATTTGTAACCCCCAAATCATGCAGAGCCATCAACGGGCGAGTAGAACTAGCATTGTAGAGTGTTAAACTTTGTGGTGGATGTGCTTGATCCAAGTGCATGTTTGCTTGCCTTGGAGGGTGAGGTGAATGTCTCTCAAGATTGCATCTTTCGGGTGTATCCCAGCTTGCCAAAAAATCAATTCAGGAACCTGCACAAGGCAGCCCTCGTGGCTCAAGCAATCCGTCCCCAAGCGTGATCTCATCAGACCGCGATTCTCAGGGGATCGGCGGTTGGATGGGATCACTTTCTCTTTAGGAAGCTGAAACAAGACTTCCGGCTAAGGTATTTGTTCCTAATAGCAAGCATTGTTACTACTAGTAAGGCACTTGCTCCTAGTAGCGATGCACTTGTTCCTAGTAGCTATTTGTTTCTACCTCAATCAGACTGTCCCTCAAGATGTTTAAAAGTTGACATCTGTCCCTCAGAGTAGCGCTCGATGTTTGACCTTCCAAGATCAACTCTGCAAACTATCGGCACCTCCATGGGTGGCTGGTGCCTCACCTCGGAGCGCGACTTGGATAGGAGAAGTTGAAACAACTCTAAACGTTCGAAGCCACTATATACAGTATACGTGACATGACATCTTGGGAGCTCAAAAGAAAAGTAGCTCCAGGCACCACAAATAAATGAAGCAAGTACGATCCAATCCAAAGGACTGGTCATTGGACCTTGAAACAAGAAGTGCTTTATGTCATGTGTCCTTCTTTCGACTGTCTTCAGCCTGAGTACACATTGGTTTCAAATCCACATTTATTCTGCCTCACAATTCAAGGCCCTACTGTGCGACACTATCACCGTAAAGTGCGAGGCATCCCCAATCTAAAGCAGGTTGGTTCACCAGAAACACCCTCACTCTTTGGCCTCATCGAGGCATCCAAATAATCGGTCTGATCGTTGGGTGTTCCATCTTAATCCGAGATTCGCTACTTTCGCGTTTTTTGCGGGTGAAGATTCTGAAGCCAAAAGGAAGCGGCGATGGTGCTCAGGAATTGGAGCTCACCTAATGACCTAATGGTTCCCTAGTTTGCTCCGTACACATCTCCGAAACAAGTGCTCGGCCTGACAAATCTTTGCTTCTTTATCGTTGAAAAATCTCAAATCCTTGCTTTAGCCTGAGATTCCAGCCTCCAAAAAGGTTTGGGAGGCGAAACGGAGGGATGTTTATAGCTGATCTCTTCCATCAACTGCTCAAAAGAAGGAAATGATCATAAGTATAATAAGATAAAAGATTATATTGCCTTACCTTTCATGCACAACTGAAGGCATAAAAGTGTAGCTCGTGATTCGTAGCGCCTGCAGCACCTGCCATTTGCCATCTATCCCAGGTACTTCTCTTAACAATTTCTCTCTATATAAACATAAATGATTCAGGTGTTCGTATCACTTCAGGTCTTCAGGGCTCTGTCCTTAGCGTTTTAAAGGCAACCAAAGACCAGCACTGAAAACACATTTCTTGGTATCTTAGAATCTACTCTATGGTTCCATCAATGTGGAGAATATTACACTACATTGGAGGCTCCTCCTAGAACTACTCATTCCACTAAACAATAACAAGATTGGTGTTGCTAATTCTAGAACAAACGCCTTGTTAATCCATAAAGACTCAATTCCTGCTGCAACTGGTTGATGAACCCAATGTCCTTGTCTTATCTTGCAACACATCGAATTTTGACAGTACACGCATCTAGCAACTTGATTAATGTGAGACAGTTCACAAGCGGCGAGTGCCCTTGCGCAATTGAGCGCACTGAGACACAGCGGGCAGCAAGAGAAGAGGAGACGCCAAAAGTTCAAAAAAGCACCAAGTGTGCTAAATGCTTGGAACTTGCAATCTTTTTTTCTTGAAGCCTCAAGGCCCATGAGGCCGTTGTAACTCGCTGTAGGATCCATAGCCACTAGGTTAATCCAAACGTTGTGTTCAAACACCTTGCAGGTTCCAAAGGCATGCGGCAGGGAGTCCTCCTCTGCGCCTGTTTCAGGTGGCACTCTTCTTCGTTCTTCCTCAGACTTGGTCATCAGATCGGGCAAAGTCCAGGGCCAAGCAAGGTGTGATTTCCTAACCAAAAAGACCGTATGCAACAAAAACTTACATAAACTTACTATGTCTCTTGAACATGAATGATCTTAGAAATTATGTTCAAACACCTTAGTCAAAGCTTGATGACCTAGCAGCCTGGCAGATGTGTATTTGATTCGACACCTTTGAGGACTTTTCTCAGTTTCTATAATCAAACAGGCTGTCCCAGGGTGCCAGGCTGTCCAGGCTGGCCGAGTTCAAGACTTGCTGGGAGAACCGATATGTCGGTGACCTGAAGCACTGAAGGGGCCCAAATCTGCGGGTCCAACTGGCAAGACTGGCAATGTCATGATGCTAGTAGCTAGAAGCTACTAGGTCTAGGCCATCGCTAGTAGGGTGGAGGCCATCGCTACTAGTAACAAGAAGCTATGTTTGTCTGTCCTGAGTGTGCCAAATCACGGCAAATAACGCCGCCGATTATCGCCAGCATCAATCGTTCGAATAGGAAAAGGGTTGGGATGGTACCGCAGATGCTGAATTGCTGTAAATAGTATTTGAAAGGTCCATAACTTCTGACACTGAACGTGTCATCATGTTTGAAAGCCGCCTAGAACTCAGCCCCGAGCAATTCAGACTCGCCCGCGCCCATGCACGAGCAAAGGAATCATTCTCCTGATGAAATGGCTATCTCTCAAAGGTCCGTGGTGCCGATTGAGACCACTCCATGAAGCAAATCTACTTGCAGGAATGCTCCAAGAAATCTGCCAAACACCAAAACTTTTGTTGACTTTGCTAGATCTTTCGTTGCTTCGGATTGCTTCGCCATGGTCCACTCACGCCTCTGCCTCAGCCAGCTGCACATACTCCTTCCGCGACATGAAGCGGGAGTCCGGCTCCGGGCCAGACTGCAGGGCTGAAGCTGAGTCGCTGCTGTTCAGCAAAGCTAGCCCTTTCAAGTCAGAATGTCCAAAGTCTGTCAGAATTCACTCGTTTAGGATCTGATTTTAAAAGCATGGAACACCCCACCACCATCAGCCTTCACTTTTCCCAATTGCTCTACTTGGACGCCAGGAACCAAGACCTTGGATGCGAGAACGCACAAAGGAACAATGAGCAAAGAGCATCACTCATGCACCATGGGTGCCACCAAGGGGCCATAGTCTCTATGATGGGCGGCTGTCCGTGTTGTAGCTTCGAAAAGCCATCCGTGAACTCCGGACCTGCCTGCGCCAGAAGCTGTTCTTGGTTGAGGCCGAGTGCCCTTTGTTGAATCAACCAGTGTGTGAGCTCTTTTAGCTCACATTTGTCCACATTAAGGCCGCTATAGGATCCTGGACAGCAATGGCCGTCTGGAGTCTCGAACCTGACTTTCTCTTCCAGTACTGCTCTGATCAAGTGCGTTGAAGACACCCTTGGAGCTTGCTGAAATGTTGGGAATGCCCAGTTGTTGAGAGCAACAATAATGACTCATGACTGATCCTGCACAAGCTTTTCAGGCTAACAAAATAAAGCCTGCACCATCCACCCTCAAGCCGGTGGACAAGCCAAAAAATATCTCCAGGACTCTTTCTTGCTGAAGCTCTACTCTACCTGTACACCTGTGCAGCCCTTTAGAAACTACTAGGGGCTCGTGGCATCGCTACTAGGAGCAAGGACGCTACTAGCGGCTCAGCCCTGTAGCATCCGTGACCAATATGCCTGTTCCGCCCACAGATCCGTGCCTCGCCCTTCTTTGCGCGGCGCTTGCCCCCACTGAGCAGGTGGAAAAGGTCAGGTCGTCAGTGTCCGAGCCTCCCCTCGCTACTTAATTAGTAGGTGCCTACTTAATTAAGGGAGAGGTAGCTAGTAGCTACAAGAACGCTACTACCTGGGACGCAGGATAGCTGATGCTTCTTGAAGGAAGCGCTCGCACTAATGATTTAGTTCCTAGATTTTTTAGGGAAACTGAACTATATTTGCGATGGCCTGTCGTGAGATCCGTACATCACTGGGTTGAAAGAAAGAACCGTCAGCCTTTGTAGAAAGAAAAACCGTTCTGAACCCCACCCTTCTGTTTGAATTATATGACATCTCAATTAACCTCCCTCTTTTTTCAGATTCCTTCACATTACAGTATCTAATGATCTGCTGTAATCCCGGGGCTCCAACTCCTTCCGTCGCTTCAGGCGTGAATTCTTCTCAGGCAAGGGGCCCAAGGTGCCTTGGCCGGTCGAGTCGATTTCTCGAGTCGGCAAAATGTACCACTTGGCCCGGAACTCTTCCGAGAACAAAGTTCGAATTCTTTTTGAACTCTTTGAGACTTAAAACATCTTCTAAGGAGGGTATAGGCTATACTCACATATTCACTCAAAACTCGATCAGTTCACAAGCAGGGTTTGTTTCTTGTGGGTGACTCGGAAGGACAAATTGATGATGGGATTTGTCGGTCATCCACGTAAGCCGCAATCAATGTACCATTCAATTCAGGGAAGCTGCCTTGGCTCAAATAAACAAAGGTTGGGACACTGCCGTCAACTTGGCATCACACTGCCCATGAGCGGCTTCATCTCGTCCTGCGGTCAGCAATTGGGAGCAGTCGCCAAGATCGTGAAGTCATTCGATCGCAGGTCCTTTGCACGACTAGTAACAAGAAGCTACAAGGAGCAAAGGGCATCGCTACTAGGAGCAAGGATGCTATTAGGGGCTCCTGGCATGACTCATTCTTACTACTGGTAACAAGACGTCTCGTCTTCTCTAAGAGGTCCTCATCTTCACAGCCCCCCAAGACTGCCCAGAGCTCCCCGGACGGGGCCGGTCCCGGCCAAGCGTCCCGGTCTTGGGATCTCTCTTCACCGTATAGCTTGAGAACTCCACAAGCCTGGAGGAGTGCAAGGGTGGACGAGCCGCCCTCAAGCCTGTTTCGGCAAAAACAGAATGTGTTAATTCTATATTATTATGTATGTGTATATATATATATGGTGTATATATATATAATACATGCTATGATTGATTGATTAGATTAGATTAGATTAGATTACAGTAGATCAGATCAGATCAGATCAGGTCATGTCAGGTCAGATGGATGGATGGATGGATTGGATGGATGGATGGATGGATGGATGGATTGGATTGGATTGGATTGGATTGGATTGGATTGGATTGGCTTGGCTTGGCTTGGCTTGGCTTGGGTTGGATTGGATTGGATTGGATTGGATTGGATTGGATTGGATTGGATT